AAAAGATGGCTCCGTGCGATTCTGCGTGGACTACAGAGCACTTAATAGGATTACCCACAAGGATGTTTACCCCATGCCGCGCATAGACGATGCTTTGGATTCACTGCAAGGTGCTGAGTACTTCTCAAGCCTAGACCTGCGTTCAGGTTACTGGCAAATACCCATGCACGAGGATGACAAAGAAAAGACAGCGTTTTCAACACCAGATGGGCTGTATGAATTCAACGTCATGCCATTCGGCCTTTGCAATGCTCCAGCAACATTCGAGCGGATGATCGACACAGTTTTACGAGGCTTGAAGTGGAAGACTTGCTTGTGCTATTTAGACGATATCGTTATTTTCTCGTCAACCTTCCCTCAGCACTTGCAACGACTGGACGAAGTTTTTACGTGCCTTGCAAACGCAGGCCTTCAGCTGAACACCAAGAAGTGCCATTTTGCGAGCAAGACGATTAATGTGTTAGGCCACATCGTAAGCAAGGACGGTATTCGTCCCGATCCTGACAAGATTTCCGCTGTCCAACACTTCCCGCGTCCTGAAAAAGCCAAAGATTTGCGCAGTTTCCTCGGCCTCGCTTCTTATTTTCGCCGATTCATTCGAGACTTCGCCTCAATAGCTTCACCATTGCACAAGTTGCTCGGATCAGGCGTCGCCTTTGTGTGGTCTCCTGAATGTGAAGCGGCGTTTGCCCAACTGAAGTGTGCACTCACATCCGAACCAGTCCTCTGCCATTTCGACGAAAGCGCGCCTACGCTCCTGCATACAGACGCTAGTGGTCGAGGCATTGGTGGAATTCTCCTACAGCGAGACAAATCTTCACGTGAGAAAGTCGTCGCATACGCGAGTCGTGCACTGACCCCTGCTGAAAAGAATTATACCATCACCGAACAGGAGTGCCTAGCGGTCGTATGGTCGATACAAAAGTTTCGACCTTATCTCCACGGCCGCCACTTTACTGTGGTTACGGACCATCACGCCTTGTGCTGGCTCTCGACAATCAAGAACTTGTCCGGCCGCCTTGGTCGCTGGATTCTTCGCTTACAAGAATATGACTTCACTATCACATACAAGTCGGGAAACAAGCACCAAGACGCCGACGCACTTTCGCGTTGCCCGCTCTCTTCGGAGCCGCTTAACAAACCCGCCACTGTCGCACACGAGAAGCTTTCAGCCGTCTCTTCCCTACATGTTTCGTCATTAACTACTTTGGACCCAACTTCTCCAAGCGAGTGTGGTTTGTTCTTATCTCACCAACGTGCTGACCCTTACTGTCGCCGCATCATGGACCGTCTTGACGACACTTGCCGGCCCCCTAACGCCCGTCTTCGCCGACAGCTCACGCAATTCAAGCTACACAACCACGTCCTGTACCGTCATATCTACCACCCTGATGGTCAACGCTGGGTGCCCGTTTTACCTCGCTCTCTTCGGGCTCAAGTCCTCAAGACATATCACGACGACATGTCTGCTGGACACATGGGCTTCCAGAAAACGTATGACCGCATAAGATGTCACTACTACTGGCCGGGCTTGTCCACCTGTGTCGCGAAGTACGTTGCCTCATGCGCCCTTTGTCAGCGTCGCAAGCTACCTACATCAACTCGAAGTGGACAATTACAACCGCTCCCGTGTCCCCTGCAACCATTCGAGGTAGTTGGCATTGACCTGTATGGTCCGCTTCCTATGACTGTCACGGGCAATCGATGGATAGTTACAGCTGTCGACCACCTGACCCGCTACGCCGAAACAGCTCCCGTGCCTTCTGCATCAGCTTCGGAAGTGGCCGACTTCATCCTTCGAGCAATAATCCTTCGACACGGAGCTCCTCGTGTAATCCTGAGCGACCGTGGAAGAGTATTTCTTTCAGCACTCGTCGAAGAAGTGCTCAAGGCAGCCGGCACTACACACAAAACAAGCTCCAGTTACCATCCTCAGACGAATGGCCTGACTGAGCGCTTCCATCGTACACTGTCAGATATGATTGCGATGTATATCGAACCCGACCACAGAAACTGGGACGCCGTTTTGCCATTTGTCACTTTTGCGTATAATACCTCTGTACAGCGCACAACCGGTTACTCGCCGTTCTACCTCGTCCACGGTCGCTTCCCCTCTTCTTTCCTCGATGTTTCGTTCTTCTCTGCGCCTGTCAAACCATGTTCATCTTCAAGTGAAGAATACGTGTCTCGTCTACTTCATTGCCGCCAGCTGGCTCGCGTCAACACTGAAGCCAAGCAACAGGATCGCAAGCTTGAATATGATGCCTCTCATCGTGCCGTGTCTTTCAGCCCTGGTGACGAAGTCCTCCTTCTTACACCCATTCGCACTCCCGGACTGTGCGAGAAGTTTCATTTACGTTTTATTGGCCCCTACACTGTCTTGGAGCAAACATCTCCTGTGAATTATCGCGTGGCACCCGTTCTTCTTCCGACGGACCGCCGCTACAGGGCAGCAGAAATAGTCCACGTATCCCGCATGAAGCCTTTCATACGGCGTTCATCTTCACTTTAAAATGCGGCCAAGAGCTGCGGTCAGGATGACCGCTTTCACGGGGGGGGGGGGGAGTTAGTGTAGGCATTCATTAAGCACATCTACTTTCTTTACACATATTCATCATCATGAGTGGTCGTCATCTTCATCTGCTGTGGGAACTTGGCTTGTCTGAGTTCTGTGCCTTGGGCGTGGTCGCTTCATCGTGTCTTCTGGGCCTAATAAAGGTTGCCTTCACCGTTACACCACAATATATATATATATATATATATATATATATATATATATATATGTGTGTGTGTGTGTGTGTGTGTGTGTGTGTGTTTGTGTGTGTGTGTGTGTGAGTGTGTATTTATATAACAGAAAAAAATTATAACATGCTTATTTAAGAACACAGGCCAAAAAACCGACGAAAACAAAGCGACTTCAAGAAACGAAAATACGCAAACTCTTTGTCTGGTGAAGCTATTGGCGGTTTACTGATGCAGCGGCCTCGAGCGACCGTTGTTGCTTCAATTATGAATCTAGTGCATTCGTTAGGCTGGGACACGAGAACCGTTGTCTTTTCAAACAATGACTTACATAACAAACTAAAAAACCTGCCCTGTTCTACACTTCTTACTTTCTGACAATGTTCTTGACGCCTTACATTAAGGCACCTGCCTGTCTGCCCTGCGTACTCTTGTCTACAAGACAAAGGTATATTGTAAACAATTCTTTTTGCGCACTTAACAAATTTTCCAGAGCTTATTTTTGAAATCGCTCGCAGTACTTCCTACAGGACTAGTTCAGACACACTTTATGCTATGTGAAATTACAATGCGAGCAATGAACTTTTCATCGGGTGAATTTGTAACGTGGAGCATGCGATGTTCACAATGAAGGACGCGAACGTGATGCTGTAAACCATGAAATTTGCTTTGTTTGACGCCGGGTCTCAATTTATAATAGTAACAGAAGCACTAATTACATATTTATGTGAACTCCTATTAGTACAGGGCTTCTACACTGCAAAGGTTTGCCTTAAAAATTAACAGCATGGCAGCTTGAAAGCTTCCAATCATGACACTGATGCTAAAATACAGGCTAGACTGAAAATATAGAGTTGTTGGTCGAGCGAAGGCAGGTCGACGGTAGAACTGGCTACAAGTATTGAAAATTTTAGCGCTCCTGATCACCTTGTCTAAGCCCTCAACCTGTTTTAAATCGTTCTTGTTGATTTTCTCATACCTTCTTTTTCTGGTATTTTTTCACACACGCACAGTCATAACTTTTTTTTTTCCGAGAAACCCTTTTTCATTCAATATTGACGTATTTTCTTATAACGTTAGTAGACGTGTACTAAACTTCAATTATCAAAATCGTGCTAGAAGATTCACAATGGTTGCCTGTAATACAAAGGTACCCCCATAGTGCTAGTGCATATTTTGGGGTATTTAATTACCATCTTTAGAATATTTATTCGTTCTGATCTGCTTTAGTTTATTGCACAGGCCTGAAAATGTTGTCATGTCACTACAAAAATAAATATTTCTTCGCATGCATAATTAGAGCTGGGAGTGTTGGCATAAGGCCCGCTTTCAATAACATATAAAAAAATAATAAAATAGGGACTTGGTTTAAAAGGCTCACGTGTGCCGAAAAACGTGCTTTATGTTGTAGGAGAATAAACTTCTGTTATCAACGCTTCTCAAAAAATTCCGACGCTTGGCTTCATTCCTTGAGCACTGGAGAACACCGCGAAATGAAATCGCAACATTGAGATGTGTTACCTGTTTTTACGTTTATCCTGTTCTTGTTGTAGGGCAGTTTGCGGTCTGCGTTTAGCTTTGGGGTATATATATTGCAGAAAGTAAAAAAAAAGATTAAGTTTCTGAAAAAATGTGTAAGAAAACATGAACAGAGAAACAACGCTCTTCAAATCAGCCTAAAGAGAACTTTGTTGCAGGCCCCGTACAATGGTCAAAAGCCATGTCTATAGAACGACTAAGCGTCGTACTCTGAATCGTACGAGTCACATCTGCAGTTCGGAACAAGCCATATCAGAGCATACGCGGCGCCGATAATGTTCCTTACTTGCAGGTGCCCTCTTTGTTTATCACCGCGGCCATGATAACTCCTTCGGCTGTCAGAAGCGCGAGGAAAAAGTACGATCTACTGGATTGGTGCATTTTATACTGTGAAGTTATTCTCGGTTCGTGGTACCATATCATGCCAAGAATGGTCCACTTTTTTTTGCGCTAAACCGATCAGAAAGCCTCCGATGGCCAAATTGGGTGTTGCATGCGTGGTGACACTCAAGAATAAAATATGCAAACTAAGCTCGTCGTTGGCGCCACGCTTGCTAAGGTGGGGCTTGTTTATCACTGCAGATGTCGCTTGTGCAGTTCCGAGTTCATGCTGCGTAGTTCGAGATATCAAGGTGAACCACTGCACATTCTATCGAGATAACCCGCTCCAGCAAATACATGATAGGGCAGACGTTAAGCTGTCACATTAAGTCACTTACCTAAAGTACCGCCAAGGTTTTTCCCACGTCTAATTTTAACCAGACCTGCACTAAGAAAAAAAAAAACATTTTACACGTGACATATCACACCAATTGATTTCACTCATGTTGCTATACACAATAAAATGTATCTTTCACAGACATCAGACGTTTTTTTATAGATGACCACTGTGACTACAAAACAAAAAATGAAATAAATCTGGAATCATTTACTGCGTATTGGTTGTTTCGCTAATTGGAATTACTTCTCGTTATAGCCTAGATAAGTATGGTATGGTATGGAAAAACCTTATTTAGCTTCATCGTGCCGTGCACTGGCACATAGCCGGTGCCACATAACCTTTCTACCTTGTCGTGGGCCCGTTGCACTGCCCATAGTTGTGTCCTTAAATCCAGACTGCATAGCACAGCATCCCACTAGGACGATGTTATATCTTCAACCCGTAACACAGGGCACTTCCTGAGCATGTGATCATAGCTGCCTCCACCACGATGGTCTAGTGGCTAAGGTACTCGGCTGCTGACCCTCAGGTCACGGGTTCAAACCCCGGCTGCGGGGGCTGCGTTTACGATGGAGGCGGAAATGTTGTAGGCCCGTGTTCTCAGATTTGGGTGCACGTTAAAGAACCCCAGGTGGTCGAAATTTCCAGAGCCCTCCACTACAGCGTCTCTCATAATCATATGGTGGTTTTGGGATGTTCAGATAGATAGATAGATAGATAGATAGATAGATAGATAGATAGATAGATAGATAGATAGATAGATAGATATATCAGGAGGCAGAAGGGAAGAAATGAAGGGCAGGGAGGGCAACCCTACGCTTGTCCAAGTTGTTACCCAGCATGGGGGAAAAGTTGAGGGGATTAAAAGAGAGAAGTGAAGGGCAAGATGTGGGTACATGTGAGCCTGTGCATTGCACGCTTATAAGCAGTAAAGTTCCAATCGTCTATGTGACCTTGTCCATTGCACGCCTATAAGCGGTGACGTTCCAGTCGTCTTTAAAAAACCTAGCAATGCCCGCGTGGATTTGCTGGCCTGCAACGCGTAGAGCCATGAACCGAGGATCTTAGCTTCGGAGAAAAATTGAGACTCAAATAAATGTGCACCTGGTTCACAAAGAAATACTTCCTTCGCCTCTAATGCGTGAAAACTCAAATGAGTCTGCATGTCTGGGCCTGTTTCGGCAGAACATTGCCATATACTGAACGGCGCTAACCGACGGCGCACACATTGTCATTCTTGTTTATTTCAAAACAGTCGACACGCCTTAAAACAGTCTCTTGCTGTAATCATTGTTGCAAGTCATTCTCTCGAAAAAATACGAGACAACGAATTAAGCGGGGTTGTTTCTTTTAGCTGGCTGGGTAAGAGTGAGTTTACATTCCAATGTGTTATTTAGCACAGGTGTACCGACCGATAGTACTGAAACCAAAGGCATAGGAGGAAAAAAGATCACCATCTATAGAATATGAATTAGAACATCAAGATTATTCATCCTTTCAACGTGTACAACTACAAAACTGCACCCATTTGTCTGTGTCCTTGCACTGTATTCAGGAATCCCACACTCTCCTATTAGTAATTTTTTTACTATAAAATCTGCACCTCTAAATACTTTGGCCTTTGCAGCATGCACACCATTACAGCAATGAAGCGGTAGCAGCAATAGTTCGTTGTTCCTCGGTGAAGGCCACTGAGGCAGCACAACCTGCTCTTGGTGTTTTATATGCAGTTTCCACGGTGCAATATGGACTCTGGTAGCGTTTTCCATTCATTACTTAAGAAGTAGTTTAGGTTATGTAATAACCTTTGTGTACATTTACCTGACTGCCATATAGAGGATGTCGGACTTCTTGTGTACTTCGCTGGTACGTGCCAGACTCCCCAATGCAGACAATGTTTGATCTACCATGATCCGTCCGTCGTCATGTATATGTAGATAGTCTGTTTTGGCCTGAAAGGTAATGCTCTGATCAGCATGGACGCAAAATATCCTAACGTGTCTTCTTTACCTGCAGCCCTTCTATTGCTGTTAACGCTATCCTGGCGGGTGGCGTGAGTTGCTGAAAGCGGAGGCTCACCTGCAAAGGTAGACCAAAACAAAACTGTGCATCTATGGCTGTGAACAAATAGTGTGCCACAAGCAAAAATTAGCAAAAAAATGTAAGGCAGCTTTGCACTATGGTCTCAGGTCTAAAAAAAATACAAAACTTGGCAGCGTTGTTTTTTTATTTCTTTTTTGATTCTCCATCGTTGTAATTCCCTTTTTCTGTGTTTCTGTATTTTTCTGTCTTTATTTTCTTCCTACTTCCTCTCTGCTTATTTCTTTCTCTTTCTTGCACTTCTGGTTTTCTTCACATTTTCCCTATTCCCTGTCATTTCATGTTGACCTTGTATCGTCTTTTTTTTTTAATGTTATACGTGTCTTTGGGTAAGGTAATTACGGCTAGCGATGGAAACATATCCTAGCGCAGTCCCCCAAAAGGGTTCCGCACTTTATAAAGGTATTGCGACAATGTATCAAGTTGATTGTAGGCTTCTCTATAAATCACAACTGAACATTTCCGATGTGGACGTATTTATATTCACCGACTGTAGGCACCTAGGCAATGAAACCATGAAGGCTAACGTAGGTATTTATGTAGTTCGGAAAAGAGGAAAGTAACAGAACATTCTCCTGAATATATATACTTGAGGAAAACTATATGGCATAATTTCCGTATGTATCTCGTCATAATAAGCACTGGCCCCGCCGCGGTGGTCTAGTGGCTAAGGTACTCGGCTGCTGACCTGCAGGTCACGGGTTCAAATCACGGCTGCGACGGCTGCATTTCCGATGGAGACAGAAATGTCCTAGGCCCATCTATTCAGGTTTGGGTACACGTTAAAGAACCTCAGGTGGCCAAATTTTCGAAGCCCACCACTACGGCGCCTCTCATAATCATATGGTGCTTTTGGGACGTTAAACTCCACAAATCAATCAATCATGATAAGCACCGCGCAGTCAGACGGGCAGAAGTCATTTCACACCGCCTGTGAATCCTTCGCAAATGTTATGAAACAGTCAAAGGCAAGATCTGTTCGTGATAAAAACAGGAATCAGTATTTACCAAGCGTTTTTTTTAAACTAAAGTCGACTTGGAGAAAGCAGCGTTTGTCACTTCTAAAATCTGCATACCACACAAGCACAGGAAAGAGAAATAAAAGGCGTCTGTTGTACAAACGCTTGCGATGAAATGTGGGAGGGGCTTTGAAGGCAGGAACGTTCTCCCCCGGACGGCTCGCCGGGCTCTGGCGACGAGTTGACTCTACTGCACCTGATCCTGCTTCAAGATCGCAGCCTCCCAGTATTTTCTGGGGTGGTTTGCGTCGACATTTGTGGCTGCCCCTTTTAGCGCTGGGTCACTTGATTTGCAATGCACTCGGTGTGACGAAGTATCTACCATATAAGAGCATGAGCAGATATTGCTGTATCTCGCATGATGCAATAAAATGCCATGCGCGAATGTATTGGACTGAAGTCGACTGGTTCGTGTCTTCGTTTCTCGTGAGATTTGGATGTGCAGGATTCTCGGAGCTGTGACGGTATCTTGCCTTTTTGTTCTTCGTCCGCTTATAGGGTGGTTCCATATCATGTCGTAGCACTACTCGTCCTGTGCATGAGAGCTCGAGTCTCTCGACCTGGTTGTAGAGAAAGGTGCTTCGTTTAGTCCACCGTATGTGAGCTCCCTTGCCAAGTAAATGGTCAGTGGAGGCGGTTGGTGGCAGTCCTAGGGCGACCGCTGGGGCCTTTCGTATATATATATCTGTCAAACTCATTTTACAACAAACGCTGTTATGAAAAAGTAAGGCAGTAAGGCTGCTGTATTTCTCCGCCACCACCACTACCGATGTCTCTAACCACAGTCACACAAAATGTTAAGAAAAAACAAAATAAGAAAAACACCAGGCCTGCGCAGAAAGCCGCAGCAGAGCCGCAGGGAAAGCTACAAGAGTGCTGTTTCTAGAAACCGTTGCAAACTCTCTTGGCGCTACTAATACAAGTACGCTTGCAAGGTACTCAATGCTCCATTAATTGGTTCAATGGCTGAAGACGATCTAGAAGTATCGCTGAGCCCCTTTTAATGGGTTGGAAGCATCCATCAACCCACTCGTGATCGAATTTATATTTTGTGATGCCTGGTTACAAAGGTTGTACTACGTGATGCTTGGTTATTTTACTATGCGATCACGTTATATTGCGTATGTTAACGCTGTTCTTTCCCGGCATGCTACTCATATAAGATGTTTGTGCGTAAGGTTTTCGAGGACTGATATTGCTAAGTTGTAGAACACTAGGCTGACACGGAACAGACCTAGGTTCCGGTCCGTTTGCCCTAGTGTGCACGCTGGTTTGTTTGACATGGTTTGTCTTTTGCAAGCGGGTACGTTTGACATTCCACGCGTTGTGAGCGTAAGAAAGATGGTTATACGTGCAATGGGTCGATGATGTTAAAATTAAAAAAGCGCTTGTGTATTTGCTCTTGTATGAAAACGCAAGGTCTCTATTCAGCAAAGGCACACAAGTTTGAAGAAAGAAACGTATGTTAAAAAAAAGTAGTGGAAGAATAAAGTTTTAAACTTCGCTAGCGCACAGGGAGAGAGGCTTGGGGTGCACCTGATGCCTTACCTTCATGCATGCCAAGTTTCACTGAGAGTACGTCTCCCTGGCGGGGACAACTTCTTAGTTAAGTGCACCGAGACATCGAAGTATCCTTTACTATTTAGACGGGACGCTCAGTGATGCCATTGATCTATAAGTAGTAGGTGGCTTGTATGGCTGTATCTTATGATAGGCTACGTTAGGTGAGCCGTAATGGTCCCACTACTGTCGGTGACAAGAACCTCTGCAGCACCATGATGAAGAACGAGGAACTGAAGAAAGAATTTCGCTGCCTCGACGGCGCTTCTGTTCGGCAGGGCCCTCTTTTCGGCGTAGCGGGAGGTGTAGACTGTGGCTACGGCGATTCGTTCATTTCTAAAAGTCAAAGTCGCGAAGATTATTTTGTCTAAAGGTCGGCCGGCGAAGAGCTTTTAGGGACAGGAGAACTTCGGCGTGTCTGGTAGGTGGTGCATTCCATCTTTATGGTCTCGGTAAGCCCTTATGTAGTAAGTGACACAGTAAGTGACATGGGAGGCGAGGCAAATAATACTTCGCATACATTCTAGTGAGACAACGAAAAAATTCATTTAGGAATGCCAGTACGGCATGTTGGTATAAGATCATAATGAAAAAAAGCACCAAAAGTACAAAAATGGGGGGACCCTTAAGCTTCACCTTTAAGAGTTGAACGTGATAGCGAAATTCAGCCCCTAGTGCGCTCTTCAACCACTAAGTGCATACATATTTCATATGTTGTGTTACATACACACACACGCACACAGCAGATCGCAGCAGCGCACGCACGCCAATGGTACATACAGTTTTTTTTTATCTAAAGCAAGAGCTGCAAGGCATCCAAGATACACCCCGTGCGCACGCCATCTAGAAGGCAATAAAGAGCCTCACAATGCCTCACAGATAACAGCACATTATCTAGCATTTGCTGTTTGCTTGATCAGCGCCTCTACAAAGGCATGACAGGTTTTCCGCTAGATGGACATAGTTGTCTATTTGTAGAGCTGTTTGAAAGTTCTTGTGTGTGTTTTAGCGGTGATGGCTGCACTATCCCAGTCTTTATCGACGTAGATTGAGGCTTCCCAAATGCGCCTACAAATCATCGGATGGGCTCGTTTTTGTCTTGACACCTGTCGAACAAATGCGTTAAAGGGGCCATGAAA